TCTTACAAGTTGGTTGTTTGCTCGGCAGGGTGGTCTTCTTAAGAAAGCTAAGTATACTATTATGATATTTAGTTTTGATGTTTGTCTTTATATACTATCTACACAGGAAATTGTACGATCTTATTGGTCCCTGGTTTAACAATAAGCGGAAGGTAAAATATAACGTCACAAGGAATATTGCCTGGTACATGTTGGTTGTTCCGACTCCTCGGCTGACAAAATGACGTAGGCTCTATAAGTCCATGATAATTCTCCAAGCAGTACTTGTGTGTACCATGTTGAGCAAACAGGATACATTCAATTCAATTTGATTCAGTTCACTTTCAGGAATCTGGGTTCATATTTAGGGGGTGGAGGTCAAAATGTTTGCAAAAAAACCCAACACTAAAGGGGGGTCTGGGGGTCGTAGATTCATAGATGGCGGGAAAATGAGCTTTCCCGACTTCTGAGGAGTCTTTTAATGACTTAAGTTCTTCAACATTCGAGCTTTTTGCCAATCTTAAAAACGGTCAGGTAAACTTTCTCATTCTTATTTAAGTAAATTAGGCCTATTATGTCTGTACAGCTACATACATATAAAAAATGAGTAGTCATACGTATTCTTCTTTTCCCATGAATCGATAAAACCCCCCAAAAAAGGGGAGGGGGTCTCCCCCAGGAATTTTGATTCCTGGATGGATGGCGGGAAATGAGCTTTCAGACTTCTGTGTTTTTTAATGACTTTTAAGTTTTTTTAAATCTTTTAGTTCTATACAGTGGTTTTCTTTATTTCGGGTATTCTCAATTAAAAATCGTGAAATGCTTATGGGAGCGATAGACAACCTTAGAATAAGTGTAAGAAACCTTTCCCCTCATAATCCCTGACCCTTTTTACAATCACACAGAAACAAGGAAGGAAGTTTGGCTTAATTCGTAAAGTAAATAAATGAAAGAGAACTCATTTATTTGATTGACTTAGACCTACTACTCAATAACAATTATACCGTACGTACCGTAAATTATATGATTTGCTGATGGGAATATAGGCCTATAAATATAGGACAATTTGATGGGCTCTTTTCAAGATGGCTTTCTTTTCGAGCATACAACTAAAAAGGATGGGCCTTCTTTCAAAATGAATGTTGTAAATTTTAAAACTACACCACGTTTTCCGACTATAGAATTCGAAACATTTTTTAAAAATACCATCCTGTACAATAAAATACTATTGATACTGATTGGCTTTTTTTCAAGATGGGCTTCTTTTTTCGAGATTACTTTTGCGAACTGAAGAGGGTGGCTTCTTTTCGAAATGGACTTATTTTCGAGATTAAGCCCAATTCGAGATTTGCGGCATCTATATATGTCTACCATTGAGCATGAATGTTGACCCTTTTATGTTCACTTGGATAGGCTTATCTTCATAAGACTTCTACGAATGGATACCTTGTTTGAAGCAAGAAACCAAGTTGTCTTTATCCAGTACCGCTCGTCTATTTTATTCGTGTGGGAAACTTTTAACATATGTTGACAAAATTAGGCCTAAGGGTCGGCATTTGAGCTTTTTTTTTTGACAACGAATTGTAGCATTACTGTATTTATATTTTCACTTTTTAGGCATAAATACAAATTCGGTTGTAAAAAAAAAAAGAAAAAAAAATTCCCACCAACGCTTCTGGAAATGAGTTGTCCCGGAAATTTTTTATTTCTGACTGTTTTTTTCAAAACAGACTGTTATATCTTGCCTAAAATTGTATCATGTATTTATGTTTTAAATAAAAAATATGAACACCAAAAAGCAACATTCAAACACAGTCGATTTTCAAACACACTTGGTTCTCGTCAACAATTGGTACTTTAAAGACACCCACACGGTGTCTTTAAATAAATGCCTAGAATAAAACGAGCTGAGAGGTAGCTGATCTGAGAAGAGTACCGCATGAACAGCGCCACCATTCTGATGGATTACTGTTGCTAGGCCGCATAATCACAATAACATTAGCGTGTGGAAAGTTATGTTTGCATGCTAGCTAGACCTAGAGCCTAGAGTAGTAGGTAACGTCGTGTAGAGCAAGCCAGCATTAAAATAATATTTAGAAGCCTGATGTGAGTATTCTGGGATTATAAATTAGAACAATATAAGTTTACTGTACCTTCTTTTCGTTTTAATTTATCCACACTCTAGGCCTAGGCCTAGCCTACCAACCTCACTATCCTCGCTCTAGGCCTAGCCTAGGCCTAGGCCTAGGTCCTAGGCCTGTATA